TATCAGAAAAGTTAAACTCCATGATGAGTTTGTTATGTATACATGAATTGATGACAATTAACCGAACTTGTTTTTTAAAATAAAGGGGATATCTGTCAAAAATAAGCAAAACGTTAACTTTATCCTAGTTGCATAAAATTTGGCATATGGATATAAAATTGCCGTAGACACAACTTTTCCAAGTAACTTTTTGTTAAATTCGATCTAGAAATGCACTTTTTCAAATTTTTTCAAAAAAAAGTTTAATTTGAACGTCAGTGGGTCGCAGTTGGCCGCATCATTCAAAGTTAAATTTAAAGCACAAACAAGTGCCAAAGTTAAACTGCATTGAAACTTTTCGAAAAAAAAGTTTCCCAAATGGTGCGCACTTTAATGGTGACACTGTATATTACTATTTTTCTATCACAGTCATACCCAACGTTACATATTTTATTTGTAGAAAGCTCTCATCAACCGTCCAGCGCTTGGATCATTCCCCAGCGAGCACTGGCCCAACAAGCTGAAAGAAGTTCTAATGTCGGTGTCACCGAATCTACCCAACGTCACGACAATGATGTGTGGCTCTTGTTCTAACGAAAATGCCTACAAATGCCTCTTCATCGCATATCGAAAACATCAGAGGGGGGAAAACGTCGACTTCAGCGATCTCGAAATGAACTCCTGCATGGTGAATCAGCCACCTGGTGCTCCAAACCTGTCGCTGTTATCTTTCCATGGTGGTTTCCACGGAAGAACTATGGGTGAGTAAAAACTGGCGGCGAAGGTGAATTTTGGGTAAACACTGCTCTCTAGTGTTGATTTTAAGAGTTCCTGTAATTTTTTTTCAACCACATTCTATTATTGGGTATAATGTGTGTCTTTGATCAAAATAAAGAATGAAACTATGGTATAATTATAAAAATGCGGGAGTTCAACGTCGTCCTAGACGGCAGTCAATTCCAGTGAGTGAAAAAAGCACCCACGTCGAACTGCCGGGCTACCGACTCTTGGTTGACCTCTCGAATGTTTTTCTGTAAGCTTCATTGTAATAAAATTTGGCAGCCATTGTCACCAGATGCGGATTTCTCCACAATCAATTTTGGATGTTAGTCAAGTCCGAAAAAAAAACATTTTAGGGTATATTATTCACTGAAAAAATATTGCAATTCAGTCTTCACCACTGAGTTTTGATTCAGAAATCTGAATAACTTGCACCAAAAACACGAAATTCAACTTCTTCCGTCATGCTGAACGGTTGTTTGAACTATTTTTGTCAAAAAAACACTGTATACTATACTGATCGGACAATGTTTTGTAGAAGTCCATAATTGCATCTATCTCTATAATTAATTGTTCAATAACATGAGAATACTCATTATTCAGGTTTATTCTAACCCAACATTGAATATTCACAATCAATGAATTATTTTCTGATTAGGCGTGCCCGTTGCTGGAATTATAGTGGAGCCTATCCAGTCAGAAGGAGGAGACAACGAAGCTTCTCCCGAATTTTTCCAGAAATTACAAAGAATTGCCAAGAAACACGGTGCCGGATTTTTAATCGATGAAGTTCAAACCGGTGCTGGTCCTACGGGAAAGATGTGGTGCCACGAACATTTCAATCTTGATTCACCTCCGGATATAGTAACGTTCAGTAAGAAAATGTTGACGGGTGGATTCTACCACAATTTGGACCAGAAGTGAGTATACTCTCAATTACAACCATTGACGCAATCCTCCACCTACTTCAACAATATTCATTACTGTATTGACTATGTTCAAGAATATCTTCTGTTATGTCTTCCTTGACTGTCTTCTGACAGTCCGAGACAGGCCTGTTAGAAATCGTAGTTCATATCTACTTTAGTCCAGCAACTGTTTGGTATCAAGCGATAGAGGGTAAATAAACGCTTTGGAGGACCCAATCCTGGAAGATTCTGCCAGAAGTCTATAAATCTTCTTGCCATCGAGGTGTTCGATCTTTGTTTGGCAAAGCCTAAAGCGATACCAATGACAGGTTCTGATCCAGTGAAGCTGCTTGTAGCACACTTCTTTGCAAGGGAGTCACCAGCATCACTGCCTTCCANACATGACTCTCGGACCCAATGATCACTTACCCCACGGTGTGGGGAGTGGTCATTGGTTGATTATGCTGGCGCGCCCTCCCGAATGTATTGGGGCTTAGGGGGATAGGGCCTGACCATCGCACACTACGGTGAAAAAAAAATAATAATATAATAAGAGGACTGGCTGTAAATCAAATTATCTAAAAGAACAATTCGGTCAAGCCAGTCTTAACCTACACTGTGGACTGACACCTATAGAAAACAACTACACCCCTGATTAATACTACGAAGGAGATTGGAATATATTCGGCAGGTGTCCTACGATGTACATTTTATAATCATCTATCATTACAGGAAGGTTAGGTTAGGCCTGAAGTGAGTGGGTCTATTCGACCCTCCATCGCAACCCGCAAGGGTTTATTGTGACTCACACCTATTCACACTCGATCAAATACACCCAGCTTCTTAATGAAGCTGATCAGTTTGTATGGTGAGTGGTCTTTTAGGTCAGATGGTGAGAGCACGGCTTTGCCAAACTCTAAAAACCTGATTCGGTCCCCAGAGGGGCAGGCACAAAGTTTATGCTCTGCTGTTCCATCATTTTCCAAAAAGAGGCGACACACACTGTTTCTGTCAGTCTGAGTCTCTTCATATGATGATTAAAATGACAGTGGCCTGTAAGAAGGCCTGTTAGATTTCGTAGTTCATCCCACTGTAGTCCAACAACTGTTTGGTATCGAAGGGTGAATAAACGCCTTGGAGTGAGCCAATCCTGGATTCTGGAAGATTCCGCTTGAAATACAGTCGCATAAGTTCCGAGGCTGTCCTGGGTCTGCGACTGAAAACACCTGCACCAGAACCGGAAGGTGTTTTTGATCCATCTATGAACCAACAACAATCTGCTCTTAATATTTCCTTTTCCCGGAGGATCCAGTCCTCTCTACTCGGGAATAGTACTTTATAAGGCAGTTCGTAGTTGATAGTTGGAGGCATAAAGTCAGAGGTCCAGAATGCTGTGACTTCCATTGTCAACCAACAGTCTGTTGCACTCTGCATTAAATTGATTTGTGCAATTGGCAATGTGCACAAGTCTGTATGTAGTCCATCTAGCCTCTCTGTCCAGAAGAATGTGGAGAGGAGGTAGATCTTGAAGCATCTCCATTGCCGCTGACGGTGTGATACTTATGGCACCACTGATAGCTAGACAAGCCTGTCTCTGTAAGCCAAAGAGCTTCGCTTGGGCCGTTTTCTGTAAAGCCTTCGACCACCAGGGAATTGCACCATAAGTAATCATTGGTCTAACAATCATCACATAAATCCATTGGATTTGTTTGGGACCTAAACCCAAAGTTTTACCACAAATCCTTCCACATGTCCATAGAGACAGTCTGGCTTCGTGTAAAACTTTTTTCAAGTGAGCGTTCCAGATGAGTCTTTTATCAAGGAAAATGCCTAGATATATTTCACCTCCGTTACAAATGGAATGGCCACACCATTGAAGGAAAGTGGCGTTAGATCGTCCAATTTTCTCCTCCTGGTGAAGGGGATTAACACAATTTTGCTGGGGTTTACAGACATCTGCTAACTGAGGCACCAACTGAGGACATCATCCAACGTGCTTTGGAGGATATTACAATCAAATCTTCCCAACGTGGACCTTGCCAGGATGACAAAGTCATCTGCATAAGCTTGCAGATCAACTTTTCTTCTGTTGAGGGCATCAAGCAGACTATCCATCAGGAGCGGCCACAGAAGGGGAGATAGTACCCCACCTTGAGGGTAGCCCCTGGTGACCCTGTACCTACTACATGGATCAATAAGTCCCGAGACTAACCCAGAGATGGCGCTCTTAGTAAACCAGTAACCACGTCTTTTTAGAGTACTAACCTTTGCTTGAAACGTGTCGAAATTTCAAGTCGATCGGACCAGAAACAGCTGAGTTATCGAGGTTAGAGTAAAGTCGTTTTGTAGTTTGTTTAAAAAATGGAAAAAACCGAGTTTCGTGTTCTTAAGATATATCATGAGTTATCATTATTTTTCAAAACATTGGAGATATTTGAAAAAAAGTAATTCTCATCATAACAGGCTTTGACTTTGATGTTTCTGAGTTTGACTTTCGAATTGTTACACTCAATGACATTTTGTTATTGTACAAGTCATTGAATTTTTGGCAAAAAATGGCTTTCACGAATGAAGAAACAAGAGATATGATACAAATTTGTTACAAATACGATAGTTTGATTCGTTGAGATGAAAAATTACCAAGACAGAATCGACAATGAAAATTTGATAAATGAGATGTGTATGAGGTAAATTAAATATTGTGTCCTTTTCAATGAAAATAGAACTTTGAACTCATTAACTAAAATGTAAAAACAAAAGTAAATCACAGCAAATGCTCAAAATGCTGGCCTTGTTCATGATAATACAACTGTGCCCTTCTTCGAATATTATTCATTGCAAGATTAATTTCCCTCCTCATCAATCTTCCGAAATCTCTAACAATGCTGTGTTGAAGGTACTCAATATTTTGATATTCCCTCTGACCTTCATTCCAAAAAAGGTAGTCAAGATAAAAAAATCTGGTGACTCCAGGTGGATAACTACTGAATTGAGAGAAATTCGTAGAAGGTTAACCGAGTTATCTGAGCTGAACAAAGTATATAAAAATGGTTTATATCAGAGGGAATATCAAGAACTTAAAATAATATATCAGGATAAATTGAAACATGCTAAGAAAACTAGCAATGATGATAGAATCTCTTCTGCTGATAATAAAGTGAAAGAATCCTGGAAAATCATCAAGGAATCCCAGACTGGTTATTCTGGCAATGCAATACCTTGTCTAGAAAGTGCTGAAGATGGGGTCCTTCTTTCTGATGATTTTGCTATATGCAACCTTTTTAGTGAGTATTTTTCAACTGTTAGCAGTAGCATATCCAAACCTGATACTAAAAATATTAATTATATGTCATCTTCACATCAAAGTATTTTTTTATATCCAGCAACTAAGATGGAAATTGAACAAGTTATCAAAAAAGTTTGTAAGAAAAAATCGTCCGGTATTGATGAAATTCCTGGTCTTGTTATAAAAAACGTTGCCAATGTAATTTCTGAGCCTTTGACTCATATAGTTAACTCCACTTTCATAGAGGGGAGGTTTCCTGATATACTGAAAATGTCAAAGGTTTTGCCAATATATAAAAATAAGGGCTCGAGATCTGACTGTGCATCTTACAGGCCTATATCGCTACTTAGTCAGTTTTCTAAGATTATTGAATACTGTTTCTATCAAAGATTATATGATTACTTTGAATCATTTAGATTATTTTCTTCTAGTCAGAATGCTTATAGAAGAAATAAATCCACTGTTGGCGCAATTGATCAACTCATTAAACATNCATACCGGCTTGCCGCACTCGTTGTGAATAAAAAGAAGACGAAACGTCGGATAACGTCGGATAGTAAATCTGAAAACACCAGTATGTAGCAGGAAAAAGTGGCGACGTGAAAGTGCAATTCATTTTCGAATTCTTCGAAAAATAAAGCCAGAAAAAAATTAAAACTATTTTCCGAAATTTCTGTTTCTGTAATATCCTCGTTGATGTTGTTCATTTTTATGCTACTGAAAGTTGGTCTATTAACTTCTGTTGTAGTGAATTTATCTTATTTTTTCATTGTATCTTGGATAGTTTATGATATAAAATATGTTTTAAAAGTTCAAAATAGGACAACAATGTACCGTATGTTCCTCTTTTATAGGTACCCTGTCCACAACACATTCGAAAGCCATCCACAAAATAGATATCCCTGGATTTGATTGGCCAGCGGCTCCATTTCCAAAATACAAGTACCCTCTAGAGGAAAACGTTAGGGAAAACCAAGCGGAAGACGAAAAATGCCTTGCTGAAGTGGAAGTCCTCATTGAGAAATATCGAAAAAAAGGTTAGTGTTCATCAGACATAATATTGAATAGATTCAATTGTTTTCGTAGATCATTTATATCAACTTCTTGTTTGCTCTTAGACAAATTCAACACAGGTAAATTTTGGGGTAAATTCGGTGGGTGAAGTACATCAAGTACGTCAATACTTCATTGTATAAAAAATGTGTAATATGAATATTGTAAGTGACATCAAAATAGAAAAGAAGAATTGCAATAAATCGCCGTACAATTTACTGGCAACAAGATGGTGCTCCGCTCATAATTGAAAAAATGCCATTAAATTTCTTGATAACGATGAATTTCCTATCAGATTGTTTGTTAATATAAAATTCAGGGTGGGGCACCCCATACGTCATGGTCCCTGTACACCAAACCATTGATTTTTTCAGGAATTCTCCCACTTGTATATTGATCAAGGCTGCAGAAAAAAACATTTTTGGAAGTCTACAGGGCTCAAAAAATGTGACATATCAAAGGTGTGTTTTTTCAAATGGAACACCCTGTATTTCGTTACACTTTTGAACAAGTCACAAATACCTGTTCTCGAATTATTGATTTTTTTATGAACATGTAAGGTACAATTGAAAACTAAATAACATCGAAATGTATGGAATTCATCCCTTCGAATTTTGACCAAGCATAAAAAAGATGTTGGGCTATTGATTTCGATAAAACCCGTTTCTCAAAATAGTAGGTACAAAATGTTCAAAAATCATTGTCACATTTTTATAATTTTGGACAAAGATAATTTTGTTATTTCAAATTGAACATCCTGTATTTTATTGGTCTGAACAATATAAAATTCAATTATCTTTCATTTCATTTTGGGGTTCCCTATACTTAACCTGAATAGATTTTCAGATATTGGCTTTTTCAAATAGTAGTTCTTATTTCAATGCATTCTTTGAANTCTCTTCGAACTCCGCAGACTCTATCCAGATCACTCTGTCAAGATGGTTGTTCTGATTATCGGAGTCCTTGGTAGAATGATGTCCTTTCTACTCTCGAATCTTAAAATCATACCGGCTTGCCGCAATAAGGCAGAAATCTTAGCCGCACAGATGCAGAAGGCTGTCATTCTTGACTCACTGCGTTTGCTCAGGGCACATGACTCTCGGACCCAATGATCACTTACCCCACGGTGTGGGGAGTGGTCATTGGTTGATTATGCTGGCGCGCCCTCCCGAATGTATTGGGGCTTAGGGGGATAGGGCCTGACCATCGCACACTACGGTGAAAAAAAAATAATAATATAATAAGAGGACTGGCTGTAAATCAAATTATCTAAAAGAACAATTCGGTCAAGCCAGTCTTAACCTACACTGTGGACTGACACCTATAGAAAACAACTACACCCCTGATTAATACTACGAAGGAGATTGGAATATATTCGGCAGGTGTCCTACGATGTACATTTTATAATCATCTATCATTACAGGAAGGTTAGGTTGGGCCTGAAGTGAGTGGGTCTATTCGACCCTCCATCGCAACCCGCAAGGGTTTATTGTGACTCACACCTATTCACACTCGATCAAATACACCCAGCTTCTTAATGAAGCTGATCAGTTTGTATGGTGAGTGGTCTTTCAGGTCAGATGGTGAGAGTACGGCTCTGCCAAACTCTAAAAACCTGATTCGGTCCCCAGCGGGGCAGGCACAAAATATATGCTCTGATGTTCCATCATTTTCCAAAAAGAGGCAACACACACTGTTTCTGTTAGTCTGAGTCTCTTCATATGATGATTAAAATGACAGTGGCCTGTAAGAAGGCCTGTTAGATTTCGTAGTTCATCCCACTCCTGGAATCTGAAAGATTCCGCTTGAAATACAGTTGCATAAGTTCCGAGGCAGGTAGATATCTCTGTCCTGGGTCTGCCACTGAAAACACCTGAAAACACCTGCACCAGAACCGAAAGGTGTTTTTGATCCATCTGTGAACCAACAACTATCTGCTCTTAATATTTCCTTTTCCCGGAGGATCCAGTCCTCTCTACTCGGGAATTGTACTTTATAAGGCAGTTCGTAGTTGATAGTTGGAGGCATAAAGTCAGAGGTCCAGAATGCTGTGACTTCCATTGTCAACCAACAGTCTGTTGCACTCTGCATCAAATTGATTTGTGCAATTGGCAATGTGCACAAGTCTGTATGCAGTCCATCTAGC